ATGCAAACAAAGCTTCAGGTTTATTTTACTTCCAGTGAAAATAAATAAAATTTAAAACTTCTCTGCATTATTTTATACTATCATTTATTCCGCGTGCTGCACTGAATCTTCTTGCTGTTATTTCTGTAATAAAAATGCAAGTATTTAGGATGTCTTAGATATAATGCAGTGCAGTCTCACTTCGTACTTCCACCCTCCGAATTTGTATATATATTGCTGCTTAGGATGTTTGGTTATTTAAGTTATTGTTTCAGTAGTAGTATTTAAATTTGCTGAACAATGTGGTTCTAACTTCAAAGTTTAAAGTGTGACAACTATTCAAATGAAAGCTACCAAGCAGTACTCTCCTGACGTGCATGCTTTTCATTGCGCTGTTTAAGGCGGTTTGGTGGTTTCAACTTTAGACTCTCTGGAGAAACCCCCATAGTGTTGCAGTGCAGTAACAACCTTGATTTCGTATCAAAGCAACTTACCTCACGCGTCACAACCATACAGCTCAACCCTCATACACACCCACGAGGAAGGATTATCATGGGGCAGCACTTTCACGTAACGAGCTTGAACCGGATTAAACCTGTTTAAAACCGGTGTGAAGTTGTCACAGTTACCATCAAATACCTAGATACGAAAATACGTTAAAGTACAATCTAACCGTGAATGATAGCAACAACATCAGCTAAAAATCCTTGGACCTTCTCCGCTTTTCTTATTAGTATCGACAGTATAAACCCCTCGCTTGCTGTTTAAAAGGCTCGCTTTAATTTTGCAAAGCTTAAGCTTGAATGATTTTCAACTTTGTAAAGGGGAGGAAAGCCTGAGACAGGGTAAAATATTATTTTGTATTAAAAGACACTAAGCCCATATAATGATTAGTTCCTTGTACCAGATTAATCTTACCCTTGATCGTCCATTTTCCTCGTAGTTCTTCCACGTGCTGCCATCGTTACTGAAGGCAAGCTCGTAGTTCGCGACATGTTCTGTAAACACATCACGTCCTAAGAAAAGAATAAGTTAAATTGAATTGGAACGAGTCGTTCTTTAAGGCAAGACCCGAGACAAGCACCTTACAGATGTAACGTGATTGATTCTTTTTTAAGTCTTTAACGAACACCTCCTTTATATTGCAAAGCGCCATGAACTGAGAGGATATATATGATACGCTATATAAATGATTTCCTACTATTACTTATTGCTGTTAATACTAAGCTCAGAGTTCATCAGACAAACTTCAGATTTTTTATTTCCGCGAGAAACACAAGGTTAACTTACTCTGTAAATTTAAAAGATCTTTTCCAGCCCCAAAGTGCCACTTCAGCCCTGCAGGCCAGAGTCTGATTCAGGCTCTCCTGGAGCCATTTGAGCACAATTTACACCCAAACAGCCCCATCAAAGCTGTTCCCGCCCACGCTGGGACTCACTTTAGCCTTTAAGTCCAAATCAGCCCTAGATAATTAAACTGTCTTAGCCCTGATTAAGGAAGCCAAATTAGACCCCCCGAAAAATAGGGCTGTATTGGATTCACCGAAATGGCCCCACTTTTAGGGCTAAAAGAGAGCTTCCTGATTTACAGTGTATGTACAGTGTAATATGACTTTCAGTTTATAACCTTGGGTGGCGATTCCGGTGATGGTTTTCATCTGACCCAAGTCAATTTTCAGCCACTGCGGGTTTCTATCCACTGCACACCAACTGCCAATGCGCTTGCTACTATATTCATCTTCAAAATAAAGACGTGCGTTACTAGCCAACGCCCACCAACCACCACCTGCCATAAACAACAAACAGCTACTGTAATGAAATAAGGAAAGATCGGATCATTATACATATCTGAGAAACTTCCCACCTACTCACTTAGGGCAAAATGTGGGCTTAGGGGAGGGGTAAGTGGGCAGTTTCCCAGAAATGTATAATGCTCCATTCAAAGATCTAATAAGGAATGGCCGTTTTTATGCTAGAGACGTTAATGTCGACGTCTTAGGACGACTTTTGCGTCTATTATAAAAACGGTTAATAAGACAGACGCATCTAATGTCTGTCGACTTTAACGCCTCCATTTAAGTGAGTCGTTCAGACGCACTTAACAGACGATTTTAGGGTCTCAGACGTTGTATGCGTCTAGTATAAAAATGGGACACCGTAAACTGGAACGCATTTATGCCCAACTCGTCCAGAATTGACTGGGAAGAGTCTGCTGTCGTCTGCTCTTAAACGTCCCGTTTTTACATCATCGTTCGTTGACGTCTCAGACGTTAAATGCGTCTTGACGACCTTAACGTCTCTTGCATAAAAATGGTCAATGATGCGGAGAAAATAGTACATAAATTGATCCAACATTAGGTTTTCAATTATCATAGCGATAAAATACGTAACATTAACTTAAAATTGGATCAGATTAAAAAAAAAAACTAGAGACGAGATGAACAACGACTGAAAGCTAACATGCTCAAAAATAGGCTCGTTATTTTATTTAGAATAGATGCATTGCAAGCCAATCTTTATTACATAAGTTGCATTCATTTGATAACCAGTCTTTAGGGTATATAAACTCACCAGGAGAAAGCTCTGAAGATGCGGTGAAAGCGCTGTCGGGAAGTTTGTTATCCCAGCCAAGACCAAGTGGTTCTGCGCATGATCCTGAAGAAAAAGCAGATTTTAAAGCATCAACTGAGCAAAACAACAACTGCTCAAGTTGTCAAAAATTGCTTCTTAAAGGATTGCTTTTACTTTATTAACAAGAAACATTTCATTGTACATTTTGGAGAATATTGAACGCAATTTAATACACAACAAAAGGGAAGGTAACTCTGTAGGCGTGAGTCTAAGAAGATTGGATGATTGAAAATTGTATTTGATATAGTAATCTGACGCATAGCATTTTGTCCTCACTCGATCTGAGGGGCAAAAAAACAATCAATGCTCCACAGAAGGAAACTCGATAAGTTTTGTTTGTCAACAGTCAAAGTTACTTGCATTATACAGGGTATGTAGTTATCACAACAACTGTCCAATAACAAACCTTGAGGCTTGAGAGGAGCTTTGTCACATTTGGCGTTGCAGGATTTGCGGCAATGTCTCAGGACCCAGCCTGAATTAGCGCAGTCATCAGCAGAATAATCTGAGCAGCCTCCAGTCTTGTCAACACAACGAAGACCTGCAATACACGAACGCAAAATTGTACCAATAATACTGTCAAGCATTATAAGAACGGGAAACGCTGGGACTCAAGAACATCAACACACACACTCCAAAGCAGGAGCTTAACCCAAATTCTGTGGCACAAGTTGGTAATGGATTTCTGAAGATACGCAGTCGGAACGTTGAATTCCGACATAACTGGAAGCCCTCAAAATAATTTCAGGAGGTATTGTCCGAAGTAGTTACAAGGACTTCAGAGAACAACTAGAAATCCATTGTTTGTGAAACCCCCCCTCCCCAATTACACATTTACTCAATTCTTCTCTCCCTCCCATCCTTAACGCTTTACCGGCCACCTCTCGAGAGCTTCGCGAGATTCTGCGATACCTGTATTACTAGTAATAACATGTAAAGATTTTCGTACGTTTGTCCAGTACAGATATAATACATTTTTTTTCGAATTTATGTATCCCTCTGCTGAGTACTATTGATGTGCATACCTGTTGCTCCTGCTGGACTGGAAGTTGGTGGTACTGCAGTTGGTGACCCTGTGCCTGTAGGAGGTTTCGGTGGCTGGGTGGATGGTGTAGGCGGAGAGGGCTTAGTTGTCGTCTGAGGGGGAGGGGGTGTCGGACGATCAGTTGGTGGAGCTGCAAAAGTAATCACACGATCTTTAACTACTTGGATAGGCTTCTTTTTGCTATAGTTCATATTCTGCATACCTTTCTTCTTTTTTCTACTATTTCGAGCTCGCCAAGTATTAAAAGCCTTAAAGCACCACGTCACTGGGTTTGTATGACGTCAACTATGCAATAATATGTTGTTTGAAAATTGACGTCATTCACCCAATATATTTTTTTTCTTTAATTGGATGATGCCAGGAAAACATTCAGTTTTGAGCATTGTTATGAAATAAAAGGTAGGCTGGGAGTAAAACAATAAGAAACCAGAATAGTATTGAATGAATAATAGGGAGATTAAGCAGCGACTTCTTTGAGCGATGGAAGTGAGACGAAAGTGAGCCTTTTTCCCTTAAAATATTCCTTGACGCTTGCAAATTTGTATTGCTAAATGTCTTTACTTTAACAGAGTCGAACTGGCAAAAACAAAATAAACCAAAATCACTGCTCAAGAGTGCAAAACGTCCACTCTCGGTTGACATGCGTCGCTTCTTAAACCACCTAATGAAAGCTATAGTTAACTATAATAACAGATTCACTTACCATTACAGAAGTTGCAGGAGTACGAACAGTGTTCTTTCATGATATCTGGGCTGTTCTGGCAATGTCCATACTGCTTCCATGCTGGGCAGTTACCGTTCTTATCCATGCAAGAATCTAGGGTAAACGAAGAATATATTTGTAACCCTATCGTAAAACGTTTTTTTTTTTTTGCAGAAGTTTGCCACGCGCTTTGGAGAGTTTGCACAAAACGCTAAGAAGCGATGGCAACAAATGATTAGCAATATTGTAATCTCAACTTAACAACGGCCATGCCATTTAGTATCCACACCCCACTTTGGGTGAGATTTCCCGAGCTTCGGTCATCACCGTCTAGAAAAGTTATTTCTGAGGGGGTGGCAATGTCGGCAGCCTCTGATTTCTGAAATATTTCTGAGAAAAAATTCCCTTTTTTCGAAGAGGAAAGAAGAAAAAAATGGAGTGGCCCTAGAACTTTGCAAAGGAGGGAATAGGGTGTCCTTTTGGACCGAAAGCCTGTAAGGTTGGTTCAGCGCCTTGAACAGTCTACATTTGAGTGGTACCGACATTTTTCTTGAAAAAATCTGATTTCATGATGTTTGTTTCAAAAACTAGGTGAATTTTCGTTAGCAAAACAAAATTAATCAGGGTCATGAAATACGGTCTGTTGTCTTAGATACAGGGCAGGTAAATGAAGGATTTTGCGTGAAATAGGTTTAGACTTTGAAGGCCTCTGCGGCACACCTCTTATAAAGCCCCCCCCCCCCACCCCCCCCCCCCCCCGCGCCGAACAACACCCACCCCCCCGTCTCCCTCACCTCCACCCCTCAATCATACTCTCCCGTCACCTTCATAGAACAAAAAATAAACGCAGGGTAAGCAATATGGGTTTTTTGTGGAAAAAGAGGCAGGTAAATGTAGGGGTTGTTGGTGAAAAAATGTGTTCTTTTTAACCTACCGCGGCCCCACCCCCAAAAAAGCCCCCCCCCCCCCCCCCCCCTGAGGTATGCATCAACAAAGTCGTTATCTTTTTCATTATGGAAACTACCTATACCTTCCCGCTGCTGCAGCGATTACACGAGACTTTCCACCATGTAGTTTATTTAAGGGGACACTTACACGCGACTTTGCATCCACATGCCAAAGTCATTCAGTTTAATTACAAAAGTTGCGCGCACTCACCGCTGCTACAGAAATTGCAAGTAACTTTGCACCAGGTGTACATGTCGTCTGGCCTATCGGAACAGTAATTGAATTTCTTCCATTCTTGGCAGTTTTGCGTAGGGGCGTCATCTTTGCACAGGCCGGAACCTGGTGAAGGCAGTTAAAACTTTAGTACATGAAACGTGAGTACATATACAGTAGAACCTCGATAACTCGAAATAAATTTCCTTTCCCTTGATCACAATTTCAAATTGTTATCAGGTGATAACTCGAATTCCCAAATAACTCGAACTGTTTTTCGTTTCCGTGCAGAGTTAGAGTTACTAGGGTTCTACTGTAATACACAATACTGAAAATTCAAATTTTGTTCACCACCACCACCACCACCACCACCATCATCAACATCATCATCATCAGCAGCATCGTAGTCGTCATTATCATCATCATCATAACCAGTCACCAGTCTGTCCATCAGTCCTCTTTGTTCCCGACGGAACTCGGGCCCACCACTTGTGCTCATCATCTGACTGTAGTTTGAGCAGTGATTTACAGATTTTTGCCCCACGCCTCTTAAGCCGTTTCTCCATAAGTTCTAACATCCTTGTGCGCCTCCGAGTGTATCTGAATCTCCCTCTCTTTTGCTTTCCCTGCTGGTTCATTCAAGGACTGTTTTGACCTTAATGACAGCTCAATAAGGCTGATATTCTCTCTAGAATACCTTTTAAATCACTGGCAAGGTTTGGGTGAACTTAACCGCCCAGGTTACAGTAAAAACTCTTCACAACAGCCACTTGGAGAAAGTGTTTCAGACCGTTTTCTCTATAATCATCCAGTACGTCTTTATCGCCTTGATTTTTTCAAACGACTGGAAAGATCGAGAGTACCCGATTTTATGGAAACTGGCTTAAATATATACTTCAGGTTTACCCAAACTATTTCGATCACTCGAAGCAACGATCACTTTATGATCCGACCCAATCGTCTGCTTCGTCCAGCATCAATCCATTTGATCGCCGGTCTTGATTATGCATTTTAAAAAACAACCATGTCATTACCTTCGATTCTGCCATTTGAAATTCAACAGCCCTAAATTAACAACTTGCTAACTCAAAAAACAGGGTGGCAAAGGGGTTTTCCGTGACGCGTGATCGGGCCCAAATTATTGCCCTTTTTCCTCGTTCCTCGACCTCTGATTTCCTCAGACCAAGTGATAATAGGATACTTGTTAATGTAGTTACTATTTTATTTGGTTTTTCCGTGAGATGCGAGTAGCTTAAAAAATCCGGCGTGATGCGTTTGCCACCCTGAAAAAAATAAACGAGTGAAAACACTTACTTCGCTTTTGAATACGTGGAACTGGCTTGAAGGTGCTGAAGTCATCTATAGCTCTTTTCCTCATCACCACTAAAAACATTTCACAAGAAATTAGAAATTTTCCAGATAACTTTTGATCTCTGATTTGAGATGTTATAGGAGTCTTCTGAAGCTAAAGGAGTCTTTACCATTGCCGTGGGAAAAAACGATCAGAATGAAACGGTCCAGTAGTTCCCAGTGGTACGGTGGTACCCAGCTTTACAAACAACCCACTATAAAATACATCTTTGTTGTGACAAAAGGTATTTTGCCCCAAACTTAGAGACATTTGGTCATTTTCTTTACTGAGGGCTGTTCCATTTAATACAACCCACCCGTTCTCCAAGTACTGTAAATTTTTCCAGTCCCTCAAAAAAAAATGCTCGTTGAAAAATACGCAAGAGGCTTAGGGTAAGTATGGATGGTCAAATGAAACAGAGATTTCCATTATACGTTTCTGGGAAACTGCCCACCTACCCCTCCCCAACCCCTCCCCTAAGTCAACATTAACACTCACTTCTCACTTAGGGCAAAATTTTGGCTTAGGGGAGGGGTAGATGGGCAGTTTCCCGGAAACGAATAATGATCCAGATTTTCCACCTGGGCGTTGTTGTTGGAATAGATAATGATAGCCTCGTTAACAGTCTTCCTCGGCGAGTTTGAATGTGACGTCACCGGTCAAGCTTGTTCGCATATAAACTATAGCCAGACTTTTGTGCTCGATCAGTTCCAAGCCTCCTCCACTCACTCGGATAGCGCGAATTTGCCTGGAGACGACGCTGTGTAATGCAAAATCTTACCGTTACATTTGTACATCGCATTTGTCTGCTGCGCGTCTCCATCGCTTAACTCCACATACGGGACCTTTCCATTCATAGGCACTTTGTTACTGATTGTAGGTTTGCCATTTTTAGAAAAAGCGGTGAAAGGGTAGTGCATGATGGACTCGAAATCGTAAGGAACTCCATAGTCCACCACCTCAGTGCCCCATTTCCTTTTAGCAAAGGCATCTTCCAAACCTGAAAGGTGAGAAAGGCGTGGGAGAGTAAGATTAAGAGTAACAACATCTGGATGAGCTAAACGCGGTACTGCTAGCTTTTTCATAGTTTTATAAAGTTTTCGCCAGTTAAAAAAGAAAGCTTTGTTCATGATGAAATCTAAATACATTTAAAAGGGCATGAAACACAACGTCATATGTTAAGTAGTAAAAACTTGATCACAATAGTAAACGAAAGTAACGCAATCTTACCTGGCAGCACGTTCTCCCATAAGACAGTGATATAACTGTCACGGTCCGGCCTGCTCTGCTCGTGCCAGAATCCAACTGAATGTCCAATCTCGTGCACCATTACGTGGGTAAAATCACAGTCACTGCCGATGGAGATCTGGGTCTTGTAGCCTTGATGCCCCACATGACCCCAGCAACTGAGAAACAACGGGCCATTTGCACGATGACGTCAGTTTACTACTACCACCAGAATCATTTTCATTTTTCTTTTTATATTTAATCTCAGTGTGGTTTAAATAACAAAAGCTCTAATATGCAAAAGAAAGAAAAACACTGAAGGATTCTGGTCTTAGCAGTAAAATGACGTCATCGTGCAAGTAGTCTATTGCGGGTGCGTGTGGTTAAGTGCACGGAAAGTTAATGTGTGTGACATGAGAATTGTCATTTAAGAGTAAGTGTGTCTATTCGCTGATAAACGTCTAAAAATTCCTGATGCCTCAGTTAACAGGGAGCCACAGGGGAATTAGACGTAGCTCAAAGCTCTCCTTCCTTTTCCCTCCCCGACGCCAGAGCACTCCGGAGAGTTTGTTCGCGGGCCAATGATTCCTTGTCCGGGGTTTTAAGTGTTTCTTGCTGTTGCGGAAACCATTACTGGTTCGCTTTTATCTTGTGATGTGGATATTGTCGAGTATCATTTGGTTACTGCAGCTGTCCGCAACATCGAGAAACTACCGAGGTTTTATTATCACTGTATCACCAACTTACCCTTGGTCTTTAAAGAATTCCAAGTAAGCTTTCTCATTGGTCCTAGGCACAAATCTCAGACACGTTTTTCTCTCCCACTGCTTCATGGCATTCAGGACAGAACGAACAGCGCTTTCCATGTTTTCTAAAATTGAAAAAAGTCAATCAATAGATTAAAATTTGATTGGGTATACAGCTTGTAGAGTCTTTCTGCCTAACCTCTAGTCCCAATCTGCAGCCCATTATCCGCTAATTAGAAACGCCATATTTCGTTGAGTAGTTATAACCGGAATAATCAAAAGCTGCGTCTAACAATTGTTTTGTCATTTATTGTTCTGAAGAAAATAACGACAAACACACCGATTTCCACACTGATTTCNGGGTTTTAAGTGTTTCTTGCTGTTGCGGAAACCATTACTGGTTCGCTTTTATCTTGTGATGTGGATATTGTCGAGTATCATTTGGTTACTGCAGCTGTCCGCAACATCGAGAAACTACCGAGGTTTTATTATCACTGTATCACCAACTTACCCTTGGTCTTTAAAGAATTCCAAGTAAGCTTTCTCATTGGTCCTAGGCACAAATCTCAGACACGTTTTTCTCTCCCACTGCTTCATGGCATTCAGGACAGAACGAACAGCGCTTTCCATGTTTTCTAAAATTGAAAAAAGTCAATCAATAGATTAAAATTTGATTGGGTATACAGCTTGTAGAGTCTTTCTGCCTAACCTCTAGTCCCAATCTGCAGCCCATTATCCGCTAATTAGAAACGCCATATTTCGTTGAGTAGTTATAACCGGAATAATCAAAAGCTGCGTCTAACAATTGTTTTGTCATTTATTGTTCTGAAGAAAATAACGACAAACACACCGATTTCCACACTGATTTCCAAAATTAAGGTGGCTGTGTCACGGTAGTCCAGTTCATTGTGTTTAAGTTTTCCAATCGACTCGCCCTCAATCGCTATGGAACTTAAAGTGAGCAAAGAAATTACATGTACATGACAAAATCAGAGATCCGAGACAAACAAATATGTCTCCTGAGCATTAGTTTTAAAGTTGCAAGCAGCAGGGATCAACTTTGAAAAACTGTTAGGCTGAACCGTTTTCAACAACCCTAATTTCAATCCGTTATTTTAACCTTCCTTTAAAGTTTTAAGCGGTTATTTTTGTGTTTCTCTTAATTTAACGGGCATTTTGTGATTTCCTGATTCGGCTGAATTTCGTGACACAGCTGCTTTAACTGTAGGCTAACTGTAGACCTTTTTTCAACATATGGACACCCGGTTATTACGGACACTTCCTATTGCTCCCTGAGTGACCGTATTAAAGTGGTTTAGCTGAAAAATGTTTGATAATAATTTTCATTTTTCTCTTCGCCTTACCTACTGAGCAGTCAAATGTGTAAGGAATGACAGCGTTTGGCCACCGCTCACTTTCCACGCTGCTCGCCGCGCGAGAGTTGGCCGAATTTTTCGACGGGTCCCCATATTTCTTAAGATTCTCAGCTTGTTTCTTTGACAGTCTGATGTCTCCCTGATAAAAGGACAAATGTTTTCCTGGAGGACTTTGATGCGGATCTGTAAAGGGAGTCAATATATATAGGGCCACCATCGTTGAAATAAGGATACTACAAAGCAAGGATGGGGTCAGGGTTATTGCGGAGTCACTACGTGTGAGCCTTGCTTTCGATTGAATTCTAAAGTGTAACCAATTCAAATGAAAGCGACGGAGTAGTACTTTCCTATCATACAGTTTATTGTGCTGTGAAAGGCGGTTCTTAACTTTTGAGTCTATGGATGGAATCCTTAAGTGTGACCACTCACATGAAAGCAACCGAGCAGTACACTCCTGTGGTATTGTTGATTAAGCTGTACAAGGTGGTTCTATCTTTTGAGTCTGTGAATGAAATCCTAAAGTGTGACCATTCAAACGAAAGCTACTGAGCATGAGCAGTACTTTCCGGTGGTGCTGCTTTTTATGCTGTACAAGGTGGTACTTTTGAGTCTGGATGGAATCTCAAGGTATAACCATTCAAGTGAAAGCTTCTGTGAGCACTTTTTCGTCGTACTGTTTACTGTGCTGCTCAATGTGGTTCCAACTTTTGAGTTTGTGCGTAGCTATGGCTACTCAAACAAAAGCTATTGCGCTGTACTTTCCTGTGGTGTAATGGGTACTCTCCTGTGCTACCCTTAAGACAATGGTAGAACAATTATATTGTGCTGTGGCAAGGTAGTGGAATATTTGAAAAATAATAACAATAAACAGTTCCGACCACTGACCTGGATTCATGTTGGCTTCAAGAATTTGCTCCATGGCACCCTTACGTTTCAGGGCCGCGCTGATCGTGAATATGACAGCAAAAAGACACGGACCAAGAGGAGATATCCTAGCCATTCTGCAAAAGTAAGAAAGATGATATTGCCGTTATTCTTTGCACATGCGGCATGTTGTAAAGCGCAACAACTTCTATATTATCTTGACTTATTATATATCCTTTACCTATATTAAAACGGAAAAGTCCAAAAACACTTTGGAAGTCTGTGCACCCTGTTGAAGTGTTATAGTAGATCACATTCCACAAGAATACGTTTGGAATTTGTCTTGAATTAACAAGTTAGCTTTTAGTATCAGAATTATCTATTTGTCGAAGAAATACATCTTCTTTACCTTAGGCCGATCTTTCACCTCTTCTCATTGAAATAAATGGGTGAAAGTTGGAATTGAGTTCTGCAGTTTTATACCACAAAAAACTTTATTCAGCTGTGCAGATGACGTTTACGTATTACCACATGCAACTAAAACGCGAGACGTTTTTTTACACCCTTTAAATGCGTTTATGCTAAGTTTTAATAAGAGGTGATTTTCCATTAGACATGGCCTTTTGTATGAAAACCTAATAAAAAAGTTCGATAAAACGTCTGCAGTTGAAATTTAAGAGCAATTCTGCTACAAAATAGGGATTAAGGCCGTGTTATCATCGCGGCTGGGTATGTTTATGACTGACGAACGAAGTAGAACTAGACAGTTTCATTATGGACGACTGATAAATGATTTCACCCCTATTTTGGATAAAACGTTTTTTATGTAAAATAAATATTCTCTTTTCGGGAGACATTGTTTGCACATGTGCAGAACTGTTGGCGGCGGACCACCTTATTTTGCCTTAAGTGTCAAAAACCGAAACAAATGAATGATGAAACTGTGTCTCGGGTGAAAGCCTCAAGGTGATAAAGCTTCAGCTAGTATAAAGATCATTCAGTTTTATATAGCAGTTTCCTGGGCGTGTAAATCTTTGCTTCAAGCCATTTCTCTTTCTGAATATCAGTTAAAAGACGTTGTCATGTGTTCGAAGGACAAGATTATAAAAAATGGATCAGGTTTAAGGTGTCTTTCACTAATAGGGTTGAATTAAATACTGAAAGACATAACCAGATTTAGCAAAACGCACGTCTCGCTTGAAATACATGAAAATCTTCGGATCTTAAAATAAAAGCGAAAAAAAAAATCAAAATAGTAACGTAATGACGTTATTACTACTCTGACTCCAGTCCGCCGTTTTTGTTTCGCCAAAATTTGTCCTTACTGGTGAGTGCCCTTGACTTTATTTAAGGGTATAATCTCCAAGTTTCATACTCGCGAGAATAACAACAGCTAACGTTTTTATTAGTTAGTTAATTTTGTTTGCGGTTCTTTACGTTAACAAATATTTCTGTGCGAATTCACTACTAGTGAAGTCAGGTTGCCATATATAACATTAAAATTACTTACTAAGCAAGTAACTGAAAGATTTCTTACCGTAACTTCCTAGTAAAACTTGCTTTACCAAATTTACGCACTTTCCGATTCTGAGGAAGCGAAAGGAAACGAAATCGTACGCCTCTAAGTCTGGCTAAGAATTTGCTCAAAAAATAAATATTAAATGAAGGCTAGATCAAGTAAGATACTGAAAAGCGGAAAAAAAACAAATAAATGAAGAAACTGGAAAGAAATGTCTGCATAACTGTTCAAGGAAACTTGAAAAAAAAAAAGACAACAAGAATGAGCCAAAATGCATTATTTCTGTTTTGAGTCTCGGTTGGATTTTTTAAAATGTACCAAGGAATCCTCATTATCTTTGTATCATGCACTTGCACTGAAAGGTCATCGGCTTCTTCACGCCTTTGTCAAACCAAGTTCATGAGCCGGAGGCGGAATTTTTTAAAACCACTATTAGAGCGAATTATTTTGCTTTCGAAACGAGTAATAAGTCGATTTGTACGCCGCAATTTTTCAGTTTCGGGAGAATATTGAGATACACTATACATAAAAACCCTCGCCCGGTTACGTTTCCAGGCATAGTGCGATTCGAAGTGTTCTATAACATTTGGAGAAAAGCAGGACAGAGACCAAGAAAATGTACTTTCCACGCTGCTCGCCGCGCGAGAGTTGGCCGAATTTTTCGACGGGTCCCCATATTTCTTAAGATTCTCAGCTTGTTTCTTTGACAGTCTGATGTCTCCCTGATAAAAGGACAAATGTTTTCCTGGAGGACTTTGATGCGGATCTGTAAAGGGAGTCAATATATATAGGGCCACCATCGTTGAAATAAGGATACTACAAAGCAAGGATGGGGTCAGGGTTATTGCGGAGTCACTACGTGTGAGCCTTGCTTTCGATTGAATTCTAAAGTGTAACCAATTCAAATGAAAGCGACGGAGTAGTACTTTCCTATCATACAGTTTATTGTGCTGTGAAAGGCGGTTCTTAACTTTTGAGTCTATGGATGGAATCCTTAAGTGTGACCACTCACATGAAAGCAACCGAGCAGTACACTCCTGTGGTATTGTTGATTAAGCTGTACAAGGTGGTTCTATCTTTTGAGTCTGTGAATGAAATCCTAAAGTGTGACCATTCAAACGAAAGCTACTGAGCATGAGCAGTACTTTCCGGTGGTGCTGCTTTTTATGCTGTACAAGGTGGTACTTTTGAGTCTGGATGGAATCTCAAGGTATAACCATTCAAGTGAAAGCTTCTGTGAGCACTTTTTCGTCGTACTGTTTACTGTGCTGCTCAATGTGGTTCCAACTTTTGAGTTTGTGCGTAGCTATGGCTACTCAAACAAAAGCTATTGCGCTGTACTTTCCTGTGGTGTAATGGGTACTCTCCTGTGCTACCCTTAAGACAATGGTAGAACAATTATATTGTGCTGTGGCAAGGTAGTGGAATATTTGAAAAATAATAACAATAAACAGTTCCGACCACTGACCTGGATTCATGTTGGCTTCAAGAATTTGCTCCATGGCACCCTTACGTTTCAGGGCCGCGCTGATCGTGAATATGACAGCAAAAAGACACGGACCAAGAGGAGATATCCTAGCCATTCTGCAAAAGTAAGAAAGATGATATTGCCGTTATTCTTTGCACATGCGGCATGTTGTAAAGCGCAACAACTTCTATATTATCTTGACTTATTATATATCCTTTACCTATATTAAAACGGAAAAGTCCAAAAACACTTTGGAAGTCTGTGCACCCTGTTGAAGTGTTATAGTAGATCACATTCCACAAGAATACGTTTGGAATTTGTCTTGAATTAACAAGTTAGCTTTTAGTATCAGAATTATCTATTTGTCGAAGAAATACATCTTCTTTACCTTAGGCCGATCTTTCACCTCTTCTCATTGAAATAAATGGGTGAAAGTTGGAATTGAGTTCTGCAGTTTTATACCACAAAAAACTTTATTCAGCTGTGCAGATGACGTTTACGTATTACCACATGCAACTAAAACGCGAGACGTTTTTTTACACCCTTTAAATGCGTTTATGCTAAGTTTTAATAAGAGGTGATTTTCCATTAGACATGGCCTTTTGTATGAAAACCTAATAAAAAAGTTCGATAAAACGTCTGCAGTTGAAATTTAAGAGCAATTCTGCTACAAAATAGGGATTAAGGCCGTGTTATCATCGCGGCTGGGTATGTTTATGACTGACGAACGAAGTAGAACTAGACAGTTTCATTATGGACGACTGATAAATGATTTCACCCCTATTTTGGATAAAACGTTTTTTATGTAAAATAAATATTCTCTTTTCGGGAGACATTGTTTGCACATGTGCAGAACTGTTGGCGGCGGACCACCTTATTTTGCCTTAAGTGTCAAAAACCGAAACAAATGAATGATGAAACTGTGTCTCG